TCAATTGCCTTTTAATACCCGTATTGTGTTCTTCTGACCAACTCTTTGATGAGAAATAGATGACTGGCACAGAGCACCTTCATCTCCAGGTCGTCCATCTTACGAGTTGGCCATTCATAAGACAATTAATTGTCAGTAAAACTAATATGATTATACATTTGCTAATAACTCACAGCTAATGGCCAGGTGAATGTGAAATTGCCCCTCAGCTCAAAATCATAGCCAAACTTTTGTGGGATTATCTTCTTGTCGTCTAATAAACCGAAAACACATTCAAAGTTTGCTGACTTTGGTACAAATCCATCCATTTTATAAATGAATAGATTATTAAAAGATTAACTTTTAATAATTAAACTAAAGATAATGTATTGTTATTAACACTAATTGTTTCATTAGAATAATAAAATATATAAATTATTCAAAAATCGTTTATTATTAATATTGAATTTATAATATAATTCGATTTCTATCCATATTATTATTGGTAAACAATATTAGCGAGTGTTACATAATGTATGAACTTTTAGATGATATTACATATTAATTGCTAAATGAATAGACATTTAATTCGACTAAGTGTTTTCGATTACTATTAAAATTTTTAATTAAATTTATATATATATATCGATACAATAATAATTTAATAATAACGAAATTAGTGAATTTAAATTATTAGTAATAATATATAATAATTTATTACTACTGTATAACATTCACACTTTAATTGAATAGAAATAATAAATTATATTCATATTGATAAGTAAGCTACTATAAATGTTCAAATAATTGTATAAATTATTATAGAAAATAATTCTTGAAAATAAATTTAAAAATATACTAAAATTATATCATTTTGTAATCACATATAAGGGAGTATTACATAATATATGAATTGATTAAATTAATTAATTTGCAAATCAAAAAATATCTTTATGTAATAAAACTAAGTATAATATTAAATTTAAATGAAATTTCCAAATCAAAAATGTAATTAATGAATATTATATTCAAACGATGTTTATTTACACAAATAATTGATAATTTATAATACATTTTGTTTGAATTTATTGCGAAATTTTTGTGTCAATACATAGAAAGGAGGCATAGTTTGGGACAAGTCTAAGGCCACTAAGTATTCCTGTTTATCGAAATTAAACACTTTTTTCCGACGCTTTTCATTATTGAACTCATTTTTATGCATTTTTTGCACCTCTTCGTCATAAGGGCTCAGATTCTCCCAAAAAAGTCGAAACAAAGCCCCGAGAATTCCCAATAAGTAAGGACCCAGGGCTATTTTGAATTCATCCAAATTCATAGTATAAGGATTGGGTTCTTGAATCTCAAAGACAAATGATTTGTTAACAAAGATTTCAAACGCTTGCTGAAGACCCGCTTCGAGCCATTTGTTCAAAAAGCCCATCTCTCGACTCTCAGATACACTGGAAATGGTGTTCATTATAGGAATTATTGGATTTTTATCATTACTTACATTTGTTTGAAAGTTTTGACAATAAATTTGTCGACATTTCTATGAACCACGTGACCACTGATTCGATTGCCGTATAATTGTTTTGAAACGTGAGTTATTTTCTTGTAAAGCACTTTATTTAAGTCACGAATGAATTGGAGATCCGATTTAGAGGCCAATAATACGTGTGTTTTTAAAACACTTATATTATTGATGTGTTGATTAATGCCATCAAACAACTTCTCGTAATCGTATCCCAAATAGTTTTCCAGCGCTTTGTTCACTGCATTACTGACTTCCGGAATATTCTGCAAATATTCATAATTCTTGTATAAAATAAATTAATAAACATTGAATTACTTTTAGACTTTCAATATCTGCCTCAGCAGTGAATAGCATAGGAATTAAGTCTGGGTTTGCGTCCAATTCTTCGACGGAATCGATCACAGAATACGGATTCTCTATAGTTATGCACAGAATTTGAGACGAAAATAGAGTTATTATACAAACTTTGAAGAATAGTAAGACTGCTATTAATATGGAGTAATCCATTCGCGATAGATATCTGAAATTAAAGGCTTTAAGGAAGAATTAATTTTATGATAATAGTTTAAAATACAAAATAAACAAACATTGCATAAACATTGCGTTGATTACAATCCATAACTGATGACCAAATGTCGGTATTTTATTGTAGTTTAGATCTTGTCTGCAATTGCATTGAATTTAATAATTAATTGTTAAAAATACGAATACTCACGAAGTAATTAACTCTAGAAATAAAAGTACGCTTAAAGTCAATACAAGACTTGAAAGAATTATTATTAAGGAAATAAAAATCCAGATCTGAAAGTAATATATTTTAGAAACAATTCTTATAAATGCATTATTAATGAGTTTGACTTCTGTGTAAAATATATGAATGATGCCAAACAAGGAATTGGATTTTGTGGTCGCATATATGCCTCCCATTATAGCCATCTGTGCATCCATTTCCGAGTAAATGACATCCATAACCGTTAGAAACGAGTCGTGAATTGGAAACATATCTACACTTATGTCCACTTCCTGTGAAATAAAAATTTATTTATAATTGTTTAGAATTGCTTTTATTATATTATCTGACATTTGATTGAATATAACTGAGAGTTGAATCAAAAGTTTGATTAATTGAGTTAATTATCCAAAATCTCGTGTGATTTATGGCCACTGGGATTGCACTATAAGAGTAGAAATGAATTATCATTTAATTAATTGTAGATTTCAATACCTATAATGTGTTCGTTTAATGAGTTCCTTGATATAGAAGAAGTGGTTGGCGCACAAGACATGTTCGTTTTGGTCGTCCACCTGTGTTTCAGTTCATATTAATGGTTATCTAATAGTTATGCCCAAAAATAAGTCAATACTTACGGCCAAAGCCCAGGTAAATGTGAAATTGCCTTTCGGCTCAAAGTCAATGCCAAGCGTTTGTGGAATTCCCAATTCATTGTAAACATTTGTATTACATTCAAAATGTGCTGATTTCGGTACTAAATCGCCAATATCCATTACAGTATGAGTTTCCTAGTAGAAACTGCAGTAAATCTTTATTTGAACTCAAAAACATTAATTAATTAAATGAATGGAAAATTCGTGCAAATTCGTCATTAATTTATTCACAGATCAATAAATACAATTTAATGTATACTAAATATTTAAGAGATACACTTTTATCAGTATATTATTCTAAATTCAATATTAAAAACATATTGAAAATCATTAAAAGCATATTTAAATCTGTTAATGTCAAACACTTCAATCATATTAAGTGTTTCCTTTGAATTCACGTAATTTTCAATTAGAGATAATTGTTTATTTTAATAACACTTTCGATATTTGAAATAAAAATATCTTTAATACAAATCTATTCTATTATATTATTTGGTTTTCATCGATAATAAGTTACATTACTTGTAACATATGTATGAAAATTAACAA